GTGGCTGGTAACATTGAACCTTATAAACGTGCCTTTGTCACCGATAATGCTTCAATTTCATGAGCATCAACTCTACACAATTGGGATACGATGACATGTGTCAACCAAGTCAGAGAGCCTGACCACCCGATCCCGTTAGTCGCCTCTAACGACAAGCATGGGTTACTGATAATCAATATTCTAACCCGGAACTTCACGGGTTACATGAGGCACGAGATTAATGTCGTTGTCATTGTCGTCGTCGTCATCATCATCGTCGCCGTTGGCGTCATCAATGATTAATGATACCACTACTTCTGTTCCTACTACTGCGACTGCTACTACTACTACTCCTTCTCCTACTACTACTGTTACTACTGCTAATGCTACTACTACTAATGTTACAAGTACTGCTAGTCCTCCTTCTCCTACTACTCCCGTTACTGTTGTTACTACTACTGCTACTGCTATACTACTATACCATACTACTGCTACTGCTACTGCTACTACTGTTACTACTGTTACTACTGCTACTACTACTACTGCTGTTCAATGGAAATGTTTTCATTCCACGTAATCTATTATCTATTTCAGTTTCTTCCAGCATGTAGGATGGGGCTGTCGGTAACTCAGTTCACACGATGCAAAACGATTCACATTCATTCATGTTTAGAGTTTAAGAACATTATTCGTAAACCACACGTAAGGGAGCGTCATGTTTGCTTGAACTTAGACGTTGATATCTTACGTAAACAAGTTGATTTTTTCGTCAAGTAGGTGTTTGACCTACTGAATTAACCTGTCGACCCACAAATTAAAGATGTTTTATCACTCATGGCCTAACAGTGTTTGCATGGTTCGCCATACCGATCACCTCTCTAACACTTGATTTTCGCCAGATGTCACGTCTTTGAAGGTCACGTGTGAAAAGGTCGTAGGAAGTGAGTGATTTCCTTGTTTGTTGTTCGACGGCGACCGTGACAGCGCGGTGACGGGAGAGATACCCTAGTTTTACAACTTGTTCCAACGTCGCTACATAACTCCCGGCCTCTTAACATCAACGTATGATTTGACCTTTGGCTCGATGGAAACATGATGTAATCCCATACAAAATGTACTCCCAGAGCGGTCATTGTTTTGGGAAACATGCTTCATATTTTCTACCCCTACATCAAAACCGACTAGTCGTGATGTAATACTGTTAACATCAGCGTTAAACTATTCACTCACTCACTTTGTATGTTTCGGTTTCATTATAAACTTGCAGAGGAATAGTTACGTTCTGCTGGTACATCAGAAGTATATATCATGAAACCATAAGACATGGGCATATAAAAATATTTGCAGCTGAAACCATGCAGCACATGTATTCTGTAAGTAATGTTACGTCAGCACTAAACATCTTACAGCGAAAAATTCCTGCATTTAAAAAACACGGAAGCCGCAAATATAAACCCTCTTCATAATCGCCTCAATTTTCATAAATGCGGTCATATTTGACGTCTTCGTGTGATATGTCCAACATTGGTTCTAGAAACGTGAGGGGAAAGTAAGTCCGCATCAGCCCTAGTTCACACGACTGTTTTGTTCCTGTTGACGTGTGTTAGTGTTCGCAGGGAAGATGGCTTAAAAACACCAGAAAACACCTCTTTAACACGAACTCTATTGACTCACGCGTACTCGATCCTCCTTTGTCGACTTACATATATGAGTATAGTCCCGGGAAATGTTGTAAACGATATTTGTTCAAAGATTTAGGTCGAAAACAATTGTTTGGCTTCTGGTGTCAGTGAAAGAAACTGGATGACAACAATCTGACGTTGTGCGAGGTTATTGCACCATTTTTCAGGTTGTTAACTTCATCCATCCATTGATATAGATGGGGAGTTATTAGAACTTTTGAAAGTGGCAAAGGCAACTGCTTGTTATATTTCTGAAATTAAGATTATAGTCCATCATTTTTGCATTTTATTATTTGGATATTGCTGGCATATTTTAGCGCATGCGAATTCAAGACAGAGAGCCACAGGTTGTTAAGTACAATTTAGAGTCTGTAGTTAATACACGTTCATTTGTTTATCTAACATGAAGCTACCTTTAAAGGCATAAATGTCGATTTTCGGGACTATGAAATGTCTATTGGCAATTTGTGTACCATCGTGCCCTTGTCGATGTTCATCCTTTCGCACACTGGTTTGTTTGGCCGAGATTCGAATGTTTACATTATCCGTGAAGGTCCGGGTTAGAATATTGGTCTTCAGTAACCCATGCTTGTCGTAAGAGGCGACTAATGGGATCGGGTGGTCAGGAGCGCTGACTTGGTTGACACATGTCATCGGTTCCAATTTGCGTAGATCGATGCTCATGCTGTTGATCACTGGATTGTCTGGTCCAAACTCGATTATTAACAGTCCGCCGCCATATAGCTAGAATAGCTAAAACTAAACTCACTCACTCACTCGAATGTTTACATGACATTCTCGCACGGACGATTCTCTGCCGAAAGAACCTCGATTACAGCGCCACGAAGGTCAGCTACGATCACCTTAGCGCTAAATCGCTTTGCACAAAGGCTCCATGGGCTATGTTTATGACAGGTGCCACCAGTTGTGCGGGATACTCTAATCTTTTCGCGAACACCTGGTATCATCACTAGTTCATAGTGATTCATAGACACATCCTCTGTCATCATATTGCAATCACTGTACTATCAGGTCCAGGCGCGATTTGTTTACAAGCAACATCATACAGCCGTAATGCTGCTGAAACAAATATATGCTCATGATATAGTCAATTCATGATGTCGTACAATTCCTCATTGTACAATTGTACAATCGCTTCTGCTTTTGGCAGAGATTTCGTATGAATATGGTCACTTAGGGTTTTATCGCTTCTGTTTCCATAGTTCACTGTAATCTGTATACTAGTCAGGTTCATGTGTGACTAAACCCGTGCTACATAAAACGTTGTGTATTGTCACAGAGGCAGATAATGTGCCAGTGGTTAGCATGTCTGACGTCAGCTGTTAACGCGTTAATGTGATATATCCCAGACCAGACACATACCCCAAACAAAACGAGACAAACATATGCATGTACATGTTCTTATCTGTCACAAGCATAGATGAAATATGAACCTGTAATGTTGCATACCTATAGTATAGCATTAATTAGCGCAAAACAACATAGAGCTTAGAATTCACACTGGCCACGATGATGTCATAATATCTGTACTGTTGACGGACGTGTCATTAATGTAATTTGGTAAGCTTACCTGAACAAAGCTTGAACTTGGTTTCATTCTAATAAGATTTATTAAGACTGCCGAGTCGGAAATGGAGTTTTCTATTGAAGATGTTTGACACAGTTTTCAGTGACTCACAAACATTAACATTACACACTGAGGTCCACTTCATACTTATACTCGGTCCAGTCAGTCAGCTCCGAGAGTATCGTTGTTTTGTTATGCCTAATAATCATAAATAATCAGCGTAATTTCATATTTTGCAGCCTTCTGTTTTATAACAATTACGTACAGTTCACGCCATATTTGTCTAGATAAGGTCGGCGAAAAATATATTGTCACTTCAGTATCATCTTTATTTAAGTTCAGGAAGTCGCGCCGTCAGTGCGGCATTAAACACAACTCATTCTATAAATGCATGCAGGTGAATTCTGGTAGAGTCTTACGTGGCTTATGTATGAAACCGTTTATATCGCCAGTGTCTAAACGTCTCCGGTTTGTTCACTGTCGTGGGTGCTGACATGACCCAGGGTCTGACGAAGGAGCAGTTTGACAACGCCTCCGTCGTCATATTCTACTACATCTACAACATCACCAACTACTGTCGACAGAATGTCAGTCCGGAAACCAAAACGTTTGAGTATTATCTCCAGAACGTTCTGAGCATCTTCCGAGAAAGGTCACGGGGATTTAGAGGCGGGGAGTATTGAACATGTCCTGAAACACATTGCAAAGTCAATTATACTGGAGGATTCTCAACAGGACCAGCGTGAAGACCACGACGACCTTAGTCATGTCAAGGAGGTGCCAGTGGTGGAGGAGCAGGTAATATTAAACACACGATTTATATTTATCCTCAGTATAATGCATAACGTAACGGACAAAAACTGTCCCCGTTAATGCAATATTAAACTTCTACCAGGTTTTCTATCATTACAAACACAAATGGTGCTACCCTTTGTAACCCAATGGAGTCAAAAGCGACTCTCTGATATCGGGATTACTTATTGGGATAATTCCCATCAGTATCAATATAGTGGTCAATGATCCAGACAACGGTTGGTCGGGAACACAAGTGAAGTTTAATACTGGCGGTGACAAACATATAATTTGCGTAACAATGGGAGCATTCCATAGCACTATGAAGTGCCAGACAGACTCCAAAAGACGTAAAATGTATTAGAGTAGATTCCCTTTGATAAATGGAAGTTATTCTAGCTGGCCGACTGGTGGACTACCGCGAAAGGCGATCATTGACTATGTTGAAGCACTTGTTTTGACTTTATGATGCTTTCAAAATACAAATTTCAGTTTGAACAATGTTCATTGTTCTCTGTCGCCACTGTCTCATCCAAGGCCTCGTGACGGACTTCCAGGATAATTTGTCATGTTTAGGTACTGTTTGTCAGAGAAGAATACGTTGTTTCAACGATCGACTGAAAGAGTGGCGTTATACGTTAAAGGACCAACAAAGCTTACATTTTGGGATGGTAAACCTCTTGTAATAAGAAATCTTTATAATTATTCGAGATGAAGGATATTTACAATCCAAAAGCACACATACGTGATAACCTCGTTCTAACATAAGATACTAATGCGAACAATGCACTTGTGTTGACGATAACAAAGAAAATGGTTACCCATGACGCAAGGATATTATGTTTAGTTATTCTTACTGAGAACTATCTCAATTCTTGTCTTGTGTTACCTCTATGCAACTCGTTCTGCATAAGCTATTTGGCGTTTATTCGGATTTGTTTTTATATCACACTAAATGGATGTCGATGCGAGTATGTAAGATAGAAAGGTGGAAAATGGCTGAACCAAAACGTCAGTATATTGGGGCAACGTTGCTCCCGCCTTCAACATTCATCTAACCTGTCTTGAGTTGTGAGTGGTATCCATGTTGTATTACAAATGACCCACCTCCTTTCATGCTTTTGACTTGTTTCCTCAGTGTATCAGCGTAGACGCAGCATTCTACCAGGTTGGTGTGGAGAGTGCAAATATCAACAGGGACAAACTTGCAGATATCACCGCCTTCATTGTCTACCATCTTCTTGAAGGTAGGTCTTGACCACACATTTTGTCAGTTAAAATCAGAATGTCATGTGAATGTCATGTGGGTCAAATCAGTTATGACGCCATTTGCCTGCATATATTAAATCGCTTATACAAGATCAAAACCAGGCCATGTATTTCCTTGAAATCGATGTCCATGTGTAACAGTTTATCAAACCGCCATATAGCTGGAATATTGCTGAATGCGGCGTAAACCTCAACTCACTCTCTAACTATTAAAACCTTGTTCGTGTTTATAAAACCTTCGCTTTTTTCAGTGCCTTGTTTGAAAACATTCATTTGGAATATTATATTTTATGAATATACTGTCAAGGTTTATTTGCACGCCGACGGGTTTTTGCAAAAGCCGAAAGTGAGGCAGGTGTCAGTAGCTGTTTTGTCAGACAACCATGGCATTTTTGTACAGTAACTTAAAAGCTAGACGAAACGGTTAATTCAACAAATTGTTAACGAATCACGAACTTCACTTAAAGTAATGTACTTTTGTAGTCGCCCATAAAGCGGAACTTCGGAACAGCCATACTAAAAAAGAATACAACTCATTTAGAGCTGTAAATGTTAACCTATTGTTATTCACACGCTGATTTCATAGTTGGTATGTTCATCGCTGTTTCATATTGCAGGGTCGACAATGAAGGAGACATGTCGTCTGCTCCCGTCAAAGCAGACCATCCTCGACGACCTCTTTGTTCGTATCGACGCCTCCAACAACACCATCATGGACACAGGTACCAACATGAAATTATTATGTATAAAAGCTACGTTCATTGTCCCCATGAAGAAATACGAATAAATATCCTTCTTCATTTCCATATCAATATTTCTTCACTGGAAATGTCGTGAACTTAAGAATCAACAATCTTCTATATCCATTGAAAATAGCATGACACATTTCGGTAGAACTTGCCGTCACTGCCAAGTATAGAATAGTGTTGGAACTTATACAATAGTGTTGGTTGCTAAATGACAATCACAACTTACGATGTACAGAGTTGAGTGCATTGCTCGTCAAGCTGAACTTGGAGGGTGAGCGAACCGACCACTCAGGGCACAGGAGAAGCGCGGGGAGTGACGTCGTCGATGCAGATGCAGACAGTGTTGTCCATGGGCTGACACAGGCTGGTGAAGGTCACAGCCATACAACAATCCTGGTAGGTTGTAAAAATTTCATCTTTGGTGCTATCTTCCCCGTGGGCCGTTTAGATAAGGATTGTCCTCCAAATTAGTGTATGAAAATATGTAATTGCAGCATTGAAATAAGATGGGAAATTCTTAACATGAACCTGAGAAAAATCCTGGGTTGTGTCCTGGAACTTGAATTAGTAGAGAGGGCTGGGCGAAAAGGAAATATGATGGTTCATGGACTGTGAGACAGACAAATAGACCTGAGTAACCTTTGCTGGCCGCCATTAGATCTAATGGTCAAGTTCGATGACTGGTAGATTGCGTGTCACCCTAACCGACGGCGTAGATGGTTCCTCGTATTATAGATCGCATAATTCTCTGGTTCAGATTCGATTATTTACAGGATTCTAGAACAGAGAGTTTGTCGTCGAACAACAAACAGGTTAAAATTGATAGATTATACGTTTCAGTGAGCGTTGGTACTTGCAAATGCAATATAGTCCCAGTATATCAATGACATTCGATTTCTAATCCCTACTTTTGCTACTGTTTTATTTATTTATTTTTCATATATCAGTTGAACTTTTCTTTTACTCGCATTTAAAGGTCACCAAAAAAGTGTTACTCTGTCAGTGAGATAAAAGCAATCAGCGGTTTGGGCCATGATGACGTCATTACAAAGGACAAGTTTGTGGAGTTGTGTCCCACCCTGGTGTATATGCAGATGGCAGGGTCATGCGTCTCCACACCCAACACCACACATGGACCCACGACCACCATGACAGAACGTAAGTCTTACCATACCCTTGATTAAAACGCCACACCACACAACCAAGTAAATAAGTCGTGACTCAAGTGTGAAACATCACACAAACTGACATGCCCACAATGGCAGAAGTAAGTCTCAGTACCAACCCAGAGTAAAACAAGAGACAACCAGTTATGGCGTCCATGATGAGATCGGTGGCCATGCCCTGGTGCTCAACATATGTGTACATCATTGCAGAACATACATCCGGGTCTATACCGCAGAGTACACGCAGGAGGCTCTCTATCAGAGGTACATCACAAATCCCTCCATTGCTGGTACATACGCTTTTGAGTGGAAACTCACAATGAAACAGTTACCATTATCTGCCAAATTTGGAGTCATATAATCATTTGCTGCAGGTTACGGGTACGGCTCCTTGGCTACTCTGATCATCTGCTTATGCGCCGTACTGGGCGCCATCCTCTTCCCCCTCCCAAAGGGCACCTGTCACGAGGCGTTCATGTCCGTCTTCCTTGGCCTTGCTGTCGGCACGCTGTTCACTGACGCCATCTTGCATCTCATACCTCAGGTCAGTTGTGTACATGGGTACCTAGTAGAAATAGACAGTTCAGTCTGTTACTGATTTCACTGTAACTCACATGATGCATTCTCTGAATCTTTGTTTTGAGTAACATTTTCGTTAACATCAATACTTTCTGTCAGGCTTTCGGCCTTCACGACCACGAAGATGAGCATGCGCACAACCAGTCTTCCGGTCCAGTGATAGAAGAATATACTTTATCGCAGGTGAGACACGATGGTCCATATCAGTAAGATATATATATGTGCATTTATCATCCAAAACTGTGTTCACAGGAGATATCGCTTGTGATCGATATCGGGATGAGATTTTGTACAATGCCCTGATTTATCGGTCCATATCAGTCTATGGCACATTTGTACATTGAAAATTAATGAAGAGTGATCTTGATATATTCGGCAAGCCTCGGATATTTGTAACTTTATCAACTCGTGATATAATTGATATCAGAAGACACTTGGGTGAATAATACGACTCCAGGAAATAAAGTGAGAGATGAGTGAGTTTGGTTTTACGCCGCTTTTAGCAATATTCCAGCAACATCACGGCGGGGGACACCAGAAATGGGCTTCACACAATGTACCCATGTGGGGATTCGAACCCGGGTCTTCGGTGTGACGAGCCAACGCTTTAACCACTAGGCTACCCCACCGCCCCTGAGAATGTAAAAGCGATGGAGAGGAGAAAACACGAAACCCGAAAGTTGCAGGTTCGATCCCACTGAAATATAAGGTGTGTTACGAGGCACATTCAAAACATGTTAAAACCAAAAATTGTATGGGTGACGGACGAAGGTTGAACAACCTCACACGTCCTTTCAACTGTTAAAGACGCATGTGAACGGGGATGGGAGATGAAGAGTTTTGTCGTGTACTCTTCATATTTCGCCGTCCATTTTTCACATGTTACTCTTCCATTCTCCTTAAAACCATTTAAGAACTTGTGGTATTAGTGACGTGTAAACCCGTGAAGGTCCGGGTTAGAACATTGATCTTCAGTTACCCATGCTTGTCGTCAGAGGCGACTAACGGGATCGGGTGGTCAGGCTCGCTGACTTGGTTGACACATGTCATCGGTCCCCAATTCCGCAGATTGATGCTCATGCTGTTGATCACTGGATTGTCTGGTCCAGACACGATTATTTACAGACCGCCGCCATATAGCTGGAATATTGCTGATTGGGGCGTAAAACTAAACTCACTCACTCACACTCACTCAGTGACGTGTATCTATATTTAGTTAACAAGTGAAATGTGACCGTTTAATACTTCTGGAAATCATACTTGAATCATCTACATTGACGCTTCGGAGTGTGGAGCAGATTGTCGCAAGGCTACGACATACACTGCCATTTGTTTGAGACGTTTGTACGGTTACCCCTCTAGCTTGAACCAAGGTTGCGTTCCAAGGGGTGGACGTGTGAAGTACTGACTGACTGACTGACTGAGTTTGGTTTTACGCCCCTTTTAGCAATATTCCAGCAACATCACGGCGGGGGACACCAGAAATGGGCTTCACACATAGTACCCATGTGGGGAATCGAACCCGGGTCTTCGGCGTGACGAGCCAACGCTTTAACCATTAGGCTACCCCACCGCCCCGTGTGAAGTACTGACTGTTGGAACTTAGTGTTGACTGTTGGAACTTAGTGTTTCTTGAATAAACAAACTGTATTGACCTCTACAGCCCTACATTTATATGACTTGTCTATAACATGTTCTTTAAATGGCAGGTACCTATGGCTTCTATCTGATCGAGTCTTTCATGGTAATCCTTGGATCCGGACACACGGTAATGACATGTTTGCTTGTTATACTGGACTAGTTCACTTACCAAGCCTCCCAAACAGTAACGGTTCGACTGAACATAAGTTTCATTTACATCAGATATTTTACTCCACTACGATACACCTTTGAATAAAGATCTGACAATACGTCCATCAGAGGTCGCGTCAGGTGAACTTTCTCAGTCCAGCCAATCAGCGAGGAGATATTAAAATGTAAGGACTAAACTGAGCATTAAGACCAGTATATGTGATTTCTATATCTCGAATATTCGAAAGATTAGTAATATAGCGCCATTACATGTACGCAATATGTAGTTTAAGGGGCGACTGCATACATATAAAAATGTGCGTGTGGTCCCAAGCAGATTAACGAGAGAATGAGGTGAATTGATTTCAATTTATCTGATAAACCAATAATATTACAAACGACTTTTTAAGTGATATTTATGAGGTGTTTTTATGTATAGTTCGGTCTAATATAGAATATTGTATTTGGATAACTCCTTAATATAGATATATAAAGTAACGAAAGACCCTTCTCAAAGTATGTCAGTGTCTGTTGAAGCTTGTAGATAAAGTGCAATCAATGCGGAAAAGTCGACTTGCGTGTAATACACAGCCGCTGTGTTCTTTGATTCCAGCATTCTCACAATCACTCTTCTGTGGAACTGAACCAAATTGCTGTTGACCATGTAAGTGTTTACAATTCTTACGTCTGTGTTCACTGTCTTTGTATCAGTGAGTCAGTGAGTGAGTGTGGTTTTACGCTGCCTTTCGCAATATCTAAAGAGATGAATGAGCTTCAAGAATCAGCTCTATACATTGCACTCGTGAGAAATCGAACTCGGGCATTCGGCGTGATGAGCAAACGCTTTAAGCACTAGATTCACTAGGAGATGGTGCGGTTGGGTAGCCTAATGGTTAAAGCGTCCGCTCGTCACGCTGAAGACCTAGGTTCGAATTCCCACATGGCTACAATGTGTGAAGGTGTCCCAGGTCGTGATATTGCTGGAACATTGCTAAAAGCGGCGTAAAACCATACTCGCGATTTTAACCACCAACTTGTTGATGATGCATATCATAGGCACTGCAGTCTGTACCCAAACGTCGCAAAGAATATATTAAAATCCATACCATCCTTACATCTGGTAACTGCATGTACTTTATCGCAGATATTCTCCATATACGCTTCTTATGTTTTGGTCTGGATGCTGAGAGTCGTCCTGTACGCAAAGTTGAAGATAATTATTATTATTATTTATTATTATAGGATATTTATATAGCGCACATATCCAGGCAACTAGTGCATGCTCAAGGCGCAGGTATTTTTCCCTTCGATCATTGGATGTCAATCTCAACGGCACATCGTATTATCAATCTCAACTCCCTGGGGAGTGTACATAATAAGCTTACTATGTCTGTATTTCGTTGTTCTAGAAGAAACCCTATCACAAGTATAGCGTTTCATTGCAACAGACTCCTTTCGTTTCAGAAAAAAGAAACAAAAGGAATTATCGGAAAAGAGAGCCCACGGGAGTCGCCTTGTAAGTAAAACAGAATGTAGAGGGCTTAGGGGTGAATATGCAAGCAGGTAACAAACAGTAAGGACAAGGTGCTGACATTCCAAAGGACCCTTAGCCGAGCGAAGTTAGGATTCGACAGAGAGACGGAACTATGGACCTGTGGTCCGTTTTATGGCAGTTATGCCACGATTGCCTAACTACATTTGGTTTATACCATTGGAATAAAACCACTGCGTTTATCTACTTTTATTCATGGGAGCCCATGCCTCTAAAGTAAACTTACACAGGTAAATCTCTGGAAACTCCTACGTAATGTATTAATATTAGCTACATGCCGTCTTGTTGATCTTATTATACCACCAACCCGATCAGTTTGAATGGCAAGACGCTCGATCAAACCATATTCTGGCGTTTTATCCATTTGGGTTTGTTTCAGCTTTTTCAACGCTTGCCTTAATGGTGATAATCGGGGACGGCATTCACAACTTCGCCGACGGTCTGGTGGTTGGCGCCGCCTTCAGTCTCAGCGTCACAAGCGGCATCACCACCAGCATCGCCGTCTTCTGCCATGAACTGCCGCATGAACTGGGTAAGTAAGCAGTGCTTCGAGGTGTCAAAACTGAAAACCTGTACTACCAGGGATACTCCACAACATATATAGTCTCCCTGGTACTACGAAGGTTATGGATATATTTCTCATAATGACCCAGATTTACATGATCTTTTCAAGCTCCCAAGCAAGGTGGTCTGGCTTTGTCTGGTGGTGGCTTGTGGCGTGTGTTTTAAAATGCCGTGTTATGTTAGAATATTATATCAAATCACAAATAGGTGACACGAATGACATATGTATTTGTAAATAAATAAAGTTGTAGGGACGGGTCGAGTGTCGAATTAGTCGAATAATTTCCCCAGCCACAAGGAGACACAGATAACAAGGCTAAAATATGACACGCATAACTGAGTGAGTGAGTGAGTCGTTTCAAACAGTATTTCAGTTACGTTACGACGTGTGAACTTAACGTTTAAGGATAACCCGAAGTGACGTGTACTGACGAATACCATAATACACATAATCAGGTCGAAACATGGACTCGAACCAACTATCATCATCTGTGTAATGGCGGGGGGCGATGGGGTAGCCTAGTGGTTAAAGCGTTCGCTCGTCACGCCGAAGACCTGGGTTTGATGGTACATGGGTACAATGTGGCCTATTTCAATGTCCCCGCCGTGATATTGCTGTAATATTGCTAAAAGCGGCGTAAAACCCAACTCACTCATTCACTACTGGACGCAACCCAAAACAATAAATGTAAGCGCCTTATATGATAAATTTTGGTACTGAGACTTTTTAAATATCAAATCTAAATTTTACATATAATTCTACTATCACAGGTGACTTCGCAGTGCTGTTGGCGAGCGGGATGTCGTACAAGAGTGCGCTGTGCTGGAATTTCGCGTCTGCCCTGACGGCGTTTCTCGGGCTGTACATCGGACTCTCTGTCTCCGCAGACCCGCTGGTCCGACGGTGGATATTTGCTGTCACTGCCGGGATGTTCCTCTACATTGCACTAGTCGACCTGGTCAGTTACAACCGATATCGTTACATTTTAATGGAGAATAGAAATGCCTTATTAAATGACTTATTGAGTTTGGCTTTCCACCACGTTGCGCGTTTCGTTTGTATCACGGTGTGTCGGTTTAAAGTGGGAGAAAAGTTGGTAGTGATAATGGTCTTAGGTACATACTAAATTTAAGGTTTACTACAAAGGGTTATTAATGAAACGTTGATGGGATTCGGACCGACCTGCGGATCATGTTCAAGGGACGCAACTCCTCAAAGGGAGTGAGTTTGGTTTAACGCCGCTTTTAGCAATATTTTAGAAATATCACGGCGTGGTCACCAGAAATAGGCTTCACACATTGTACCCATGTGGCGAGGCGGAGGCATCGGCTATTACAACTTTTCTACGCATTAAACGCCTGATAACCAGGCAGGTAACAAATATCTGTTTCATATTGAAATATGTCACCGATTTGCAATGCGGTTATGTCACAAAATGTTTCCCCGACACAACTTTGACCTGGCCCCTAATGGCCTCTTTTGCATGTTTGTAGGACACACACTAGAGTAGTACCACACAGATACCACTCTAATCAACTCTGGGGCACTTGTACAAAGGACTTATGTATACTTGCAGTTACCGTCTCTTATCAACAACGTTTCGAGAAACCGGAAGTTAGTGTTTGTGATGCACAACGTTGGGATGTTGTCAGGTTTTCTCTGTATGCTGCTCATCGCCATGTATGAGGAGAAGATCACTATTTGAGGTAAGACGGACCATCGTCTCTTCTACAACAAAGGCAATCCTGGTTTCTCGTCTCCAGCCTCAGCGAGGAAGAGAGGGGCGAGCGAAAATATCGATATGTTGTTTCCACTAATTAACTAACTTTAACGGGTGGTTGACGGGAAAGACAGAACAAAAATGCAGTAAGCCTAATAATAGGTATGCTACTACTCCTACCATCCATGCACAGTCGTACTTCATCCACTATATCCATTTCCATTCGTATTGCTGCCGTTGCCACTGCTACTGCTATCGCCTCTGGTGCAGTGGATGGTGCATCTGGCCAGAGAGCGGATGGTTGGTGGTTCGACGACAGGCGCGTAGCAAACCAATTTTTTCGTGTAAGCCCGATAGATTCCAAAGCTTTATATTTAGATAGTATTGAGGGCTTGCCCCACCTTTTTAGCAGCAATCAGGTGTAAGCACGGGTTTTTTTCATAATGGTAGCTACGCCCCTGGACGACCTGCACACGTTACACGACAAGACATTAGACATGATACTTGTTGTTACCCTGGCTTGTGTTCTACATTTCGGGGACTAAACATGAATTGGCCGGACTGGAGTCAGTATAATTATCTGGTTGGGTTAGCACGTCGCAATATAAGTGAAGTAAGCTTCAACCCGGAATTAAACCTCATTCCACTCCATCTGCTACAGCTACGACTACATCGTTCGGGCCACACAAGCTCGGAATTTGTCTTGGTGCTTGATAACTTGCTGATTTCCCAACCAACTAGACGTAGCCGATAAATATCCGTCCAGTTCGCTATTCTGTAGAAACAGACTAGCAATTTGCTTATGCCTCCATTGCACTTCTAATGACGGATTGGTATAGATTCTTTTGGTAAATTCAAAGTCGGATCAATTATTTACCTTAATTATTCCTAGATTTAGGCTGCAATAACATTGAGAAGATTTGAAGAGATATATTTGTGCAAAAAATCTTGATACTTTGTACTTCTTGCATTCATGCTAAAATAGATTGACATAGACTTGGTCACTTTAGAGGTATGTAGTCTCATTACGACTTCAGGACCAAGTAGGACTAGTAGAACCAAGGATTTGTGCGATCTTTTATGTACGCTTCATAAGTGAGGCGTTTCACTGTCATATGATGACAGTGATTGAGTGAATATGGTTTTACGCCGCTTTTAGCAATATTCCAGCAATATCACGGCGGGAGACACCAGAAATGGGCTTCACATATTGTACCCAAGTGGGGAACCGAACCCGGGTCTTCGGCGTGACGAGCCAACGCTTTAACCACTAGGCTACCCCACCGCCCCCGTATAATGATAGCATTCATTAACATGGCTACCATTAAATTTAAATAATGCGCCAAGACTGGAATATCCGATGAAAAATGTTTAAATACCCTTTACAACAGAATGTGTCTATTATTAATGCCACTAATGAACGCGCAGTGTATCATACCACCTTGATTACAAACAAGAAAATATTTGGATTGGAAAATATCAGTTGACGGCTCACATGTTCTGTAAGTCCTGCAACCGATCAATCTGTGAACAGTAGTTGCCATAGAGTTAATGAGCCGAATGTTGATTTCGTTACGCGATTTTGATTGGACTGTGTTTAGTTTCGTTAGTCTGGCCAAAATTTAACACCATAATCCCAGTCCATTCGACAATGGTGGAAACTGGACTTATCAGTTGTAACATATGTTACATATATACTTCACATCAAAAGTTTAGACTCACTAGTGTAAATATAGCCACTTACTTCAGTCAACTGGTCCAAACTAAATTTTGCAAAATATTCCATACTCTTTAGGGGTACTGTTTACACATGAACTGATGAATTGTAAAACAAATTCGTAACGTTGAAAAGATTATTGTCATGAGTTCAGTAAATGATAAAAATCAGTGAAAATTGGCGAATTCTTAACAAACCTTTACACCACAACGCAGCTGTTCACATGCACGATATTTGCACATGCTTTTCAGCAATTTTACGCATGATCCTCGTGCAATTTATCTGCATAAAGTTTGCAGTTGGTTCCCCCAAGTTAGTGGAGAAGTCAATCTTCGATGTAACCATATGTATGACTACACAATGCCATTTATAAGAAAGTGGTCAAATGTAACATATGTTACATGTATATTTGGGATAACACGCTTTTTAGTAGAGTACAAATTCTAGTACTCTTGTGGGGTTGGTGTGAGGGTTTGTTTTGGGTTGAGTCCCATCCGGGATTCGAACCCACACCCTCAGAGTCAGGCACCAAATCGCCAGCGCAACTTCCACTCCAATATTCCACTGACTTTGTGTGCTGGCGATTTGGTGCCTGACTCTTAGGGTGTGGGTTCGAATCCCGGATGGGACTCAAACCAAAACAAGTACTAGAATTTGTACTTTACTAAGAAAGTGTTATCCCAAATATAACATATGTCACCATATATATACATAACATATAGTGAGTGTTTTAAGTGAGTAACTTTTGAAGAGAAGTATATTCGGGATTGCCCTAACTTATTAATTGTGGCATTGTGTATTCACAGTTAACTCCCTTGCCTTGGAATGACTGATACAGGCCATGAAGTTTAACGATGCAGTCCTTTACATTGCAGGGTTAAAGATGTGGGAATTGGAGTGGTGCCTGCTGCACAAGGCGCCGAGACCTCGTCAGAAGCCATAATACCTCAAACATGGTTCTGTGACAGACTGTGAAGAAGTTACCGTTTCAAATGTTATATACCAACCATAGTACCTCTGTTAAACGCACACGGTCGAATATTCCATTCGATAATTAGTGAGGAATATATTTCTCGATGACAGGGAGACACTTCAGGTTGAATTGTGACGAATTTTAAGGGACTATCCAATTAGCTACGTTAGCTCAGTGTTCTTTCACCAATAGTTCCAGCGCTACATATTGGTTATTGTTGTGTTTCATAAGTTTATGTGTATGTCGGTTTGACACGGACGTCTGCTTGCTATGGAGTCTCACGAGACCAAAATGAATATCGCGAGGTTTGTGCCTTGATTGAATCAGTGCCCACCGACTGCGTTCTTCATGCATTTAACTCAAACGTTGTTGTCCGTAATCCTAACTTAGGGCAGCGGGAAACATTACAGTCTTTATCACCGTATGATTATTTCCTATACACACGTATATAGAGAGATAAGAGTTTCTGTAATGATTAATAATATTTTATCAATTTACTTTTTTATAGTAAACAGCGTCATATTACCTTTCCTATACAGACATTTTCTTTACCTTTAAGGTCGAATTAGATTTAAAATGTTATGTGAATCGTGTGAAAATAACTATAGGTTTTGATAATACTGATTTATTATGGGGTTGTATGGTTATCGAAGGTTAATTTTCTCAACGTTATTTTCTTTCTTTTGGTATTGTGCTGTGTGATATTAACGTGGATATAAGATTTCTTAAAAAGAGGTCTAAATATTCTTAATTTGCATTAATCGATACTGATAAACACCTGGTCTTTCAATTTTATAACGGTGCTTTTCTTACGTCCCAAAATAAACAGCGTGTCAATAATTATTGCTTACTCAGCAACAGCGGATGTTATTCATAGTCAGAGCAGTCCTATAAACAGAGCACAATAATAGCATGGCAGATGGCAAAGTAATCGATAATACTGGTCTGTTTATCAGAAATCGCACAATAGAACCAAGGCAAATATGTTTTCTTGAATTATGTGTTGCGTCAGTCCATTAGCGTTATTGACAACCAACCTCGGTGAAATTTCAATATTTCCTTTGATGATATTTTTCACACGTTACTTCATCGCACAAAGACATGGTGTGGGGGTAAAACATCTGATGATGAGATTGATTGTCAACGTTAGTGGTATGTTTATATACTGTGATGTAAATATGTAACATGTTTCTTTGTGACATTTGTTTATTCATGACAGTTTTAATAAAACTATCAAACAACACTCTTAAATTTTCACTCTGGGTAACTGGGAAAAGGTATGTGTGAATGCATAATTTACTCAACACATTATGCTGGTGTCATCATATGAACCAAATTCATTATGCGTGGCGAGAAAGTTTTAAGGTCAAGATGTTAAAAAAACTACATCAACGCTCACCTTAAAAAAACGATTCTTTCATGTTTCTTTAGCGCCGTGACAGATTGATTAATGTAGATATATTACTAGTATATACGAATCTAAACGATCTCAGTTTTACCTCGTCACGGCGCGTCGTCTCGCCTTGGTAAGGAAACTCGGATCGCTGATCTGACCCAGTCAATCGTGTGTGTATTATTCGGGGCTGCCTCACCCACAACACACATTGCCTCATAACCAGCTCGATCGCCATATATGCCAGGCCTGTGATCCGACATTTGCTGTGCGTAGCTCAAGCGGGAGGCGATGCTAGTTTCGGATCGTCTGCCGCTGGGAACCACGTTGTTATCGAGTGATTCAATAACGGTCATCAGTGAGATACTCTAGGGGTGTTGAGTGGCATGTTGCAACACGCGGAGTAAACTTCTCGGATTTCTTGCGACTAATAGCATAGCGTCAGCACAAAGCGTTCAGAGGTGTAGCCGTGCTCCTCCGCGAGGAAGAGTGACGGAAACCTACCGTGTGACAACTTGGGGAGGCACGGAGTGTGTATACACACACTCCTGCCGCTTGAGGTCCGCGCTTGGCCGCGGATCCGAAATTAACATTTTCTACTTCGCGCTGTTACACAGATCCGAAACTATCCTAAAATCCGATTTATCACACACGGCGTTCACTCGAAGCCAATTGTTTTCGCTGTTCGCTCGCTCGCTGACGTGTGGTGCGCGTAACAGCGGCGAACCGGCCAATCAATAGCGACTTTACAACAGGCCGACGTGCACGATCACAATTGTGTTCCGATTGCCAGCTGATTTCAGATACAGGACATAAGGTCGCTCAGCTTTTATAACCGTGGTAGAAATTGTCACACTGCATGTCTGCCATTCGCGTCGACAGTAAGTAAATCTGAAGACAAAAAGGATAGCTAAGTGACGGATCATATAAGGATGCAAACGCATTAAACTTTACAGTAGCATCTTTAAGGAGTCGTGGAGTTACGAGTTCTTCTTATTAGTTCTGATTCTTGTGTTTCGTTTATGGACAGACACATTGGGATGTTATCCGCATGATAATAACAAGCAAGGACGGACTTTCAGGAAGTTAGAGAGCACTAATATAAACACCTCCGATTCACCCACCCCTGTCTGTGATACGTGCGCGGTCCTTAGGATGCATGCAACACGCTCTCAACAGTTTTATTATGAAGTACAGTGCATGCTCACAGTACATATGAACTAAATGCACAATCAGGCTGCATATTTTACAGGCATCAAATACGACTGGGTCTTTAGTGAAAATGGGCAAAACTATATTTAGTAGGGACGTGGGGGAAGATAGAGTTTCCAATATGACCCAAGATCATGAAGTACTATGAATATGGATAGTCGAAAAGGCAACGCATATCAGTCAAATAGTGCATTCTGAAAGCATTCCTAGAGTTGTACATAAACAATGCATGGAAAACCTCGTGTTACGGGGTTTTGAAGCACACCAATCTAATGTTTTAGCGATTATACAACCATTGATGAGTGTAGGGTGTATTACTACAAACCAGAAACAAATAGTCAAAGCACTGAAGACAGTAAATGTACCTGTGCAAACCCTTGAAAATACAGGCTAGAAATGGTTTCTAACAAACCATGCTTGTGGTGAATGCCGCATTACGAGAAAAGGTGATCGAGGACTGACTGAGTGAGTGAGTTTGTACTTTTAGCACAATATTCCAGCAATATCACTGTGGGTGCCAGCAGAAATTGGCTTCACACATTTGGGAATCAAACCCGGCTTTTCGGCGTGACGAACGAACGCTTTAACCACTAGGCTAACCCACCGTCCCTGGGTGATCAAGCCTAGCTGACTTGGTTGCTGCATAATCATTATCGCAATCACATATTTCGGTGCTCATGATGGCAACTTCTGAATTGGGTGATCGATCGATTATTTACTGACCACCGCCGTATAGCTAGCTGGAAAGGCGCTGATTGCGAGGTTAAACAACAAATGTGTGTACAATCGTGCACAAGTCTGTGTCGTCAAAGATGCAAGCATGAACTTATACGACTTCCTCCATATTCACTTGATCTGACACCCTCAGATTTCCACCTCATCGTAATTTGAATACAGAGCGGTCTTACTAGCATTATGCAAATGGTGTATGACCTGTATGGTGCTGTGTATGACCGGAAGGATGCCTTCCACGCCAGTGGGATTCAGGTACTCTTGGAATCCTTATCTCAAATGTTTTAAATGTGGGCAAAAACTCCACCTATGTTTTCGTAGATATTGTAGGGAGAATGCACGATAACACACCATATGCAGTGTGTAAAGACTGATTTTACGCAAAACGAGACATATTTTAACTACATTTTACATGAATTCTCTTAAAAAGGACGCAGTGTAGCTTGTGATACATGTAGGACTGTCCTGTTCATTGCGCATGCAGTTTCTTTTAGCAATTTCGCGAATATAATGGTAAAAATGCACACTTGTGATTTTGTCCAGTTTCCGATGAGGTGAAGTTTAGAGAAATTAACAAAACTGCCTGTCTTTTCACTGAAATGCATAAATGACGTTTCTGCGGACGCCTTTGTTGATATAAATAATGCGTTACGGCGCATTAGCTCATGAGCCGGTTCCACGGGTCTTCCAATTAATTTCGCTCTAATCTAAGATTATTTACCTAGCGTATACAGTCCTCAACAGGACAATGGAAAGGGTACTTTCTTAAAATAGAACACTACCGGTACGACTAGTTTCTCACTGTTACATCGGGTTATGGCAAGCTTCAGCGAGGCGTGACGGTATCTCCCAGCCGGAGTCACCCGAATAGTGGGGGCATTCAAGGAAGTGTACTCAGTCTTTCATTATTACAAACAGGTTTGTAGAGTCCGCGGCGCGGCGAAGGAAAGTGTACATACCGGTGTTGTGTGTGTGTACGAGGGGGTGGGTCCTATTTCACCCACGGTCTACCCGAGACAGTCGAACTATACCCTGGCTGGGTGAATGCAGGTTTTGTGAATCATTTTCAAGTTGGACTAGATCTGTGTAGACTGAGCACAGGTAGGAGTGTTGAAATAGGGTGTGAGTTGCTTCTGTGTGTAAATATTACTTTAGTGATACAGGTAGATAAACACATGTAGAGAGGAGAGAACCTGTGAGATCTAACTGGAGGATTATTACAAGAGACTGTGCTGCATGAACGTACCCAGGGTAGACAGTTGAAGAAGTATATTTTAGACTCAACCAGTCTGACTTGTCGGTGCTGTACACGTGTATGTTAACGCGTCACCAAGGAGTATAATAATTCTAACTGAATCGCTGTGTACACACGTTTCACGTCAGTGAACACTAGAAGACAGAACTGAAATCTGAACCTTGTGATAATTCTTCATGTCGATAACATTTTAATAACAGGGTAATGTGGCTAATTGCACAGGTGTGACGTATTTTTCACCTGTACACCTTTTGAAACACAACCGACTGTTTCTCCAGTGTTTGTCACCTACATCCACCGCCTCACACCATCATGTCTGGAGGATGCATCCTATCCCTGCTCATCCTTGCTTGTGTCGGGCTGTGCTCGGGGGAGAAAGTGCTGCTGATTGTACTCGGGGGATTCCGCTGGGACTACTTCAACATCCACACATACGATGTGCACGGTTTCAGCAAGGTGTTCGAAAAGGGTGTGAAAGCTGATCATCTCATCCCTTCATTTCCCACCCTCACCTACCCAAACATCTACTCCCTCGTTACAGGTAATCTATATTCCTTTTTCAGCTATACATTACTTATATGTACTTATTCATGTAACGTGGTAATGAATTAACTAGTTCAGTAAATGTTAACAGTTTACCTATCATACATCTTGTATAGTCACTTGACATCTGTATCTGATAAGTGATTTCCTTCAGGAAAATGTTAGATGTATGTGTACACGTGATCTAAAACATTAAATAATTTCCAATTTATTCAGGTTTGTACCCTGAGAATCATGGGGTGATCAGCGACGAGATGTGGGACCCGGAAATGCAGAGAATGTTTTCCAAGGGAGACTATTCCGAGTTTCTTAAACCCTACTGGTGGGACATGGGCGAGCCTGTGTGGGTTACCGCGGCAAGACAGGTGCGTCGTATACCTGAACTATTCAACCGATACCATCAATATTGTTAACCTAATCCCTATTTTTTAACTAACTAATTATGTTTGTATTAGTACCTGTGAAAAGTGAATGCGAGTTTTGAAGTCAAAATGACTTTTTGACGATTACATTATTCTGTAAACAAGGATATGTTTATGTCCACTTACACACCTGGCAAAATGGGTATTTCGGTTCCTTGGTAAGGTGCCTCGTATTCCCCATTTTGCGCGGGTGGTCCCGTCTTCTGAACCCGTTATAACGAGAGTTGTGTCAGAAACCTATGATCGCATATTCTGATCCCAAGATGTTAGTATTATACTTGTAGGTTTGCAGACCACATATCAATGCTGCTGGGTTTCACCACCGCGGTAACGTCTAAGACGTGCATCACTGCGGGGCTTCTTCAATACGCTGTGATATCATTGTTCAAATGCTGTTAAAACACTCAGCTCACTCACTAACTCACCCACTCACCATTCCACAGGGTAAGACGTCCTACCTGTTCAACTGGCCAGGCTGCGATGCCACCATCCGGTCACTGCAGCCCACGTTCTGTGTTCCGCACGCTGACGCCACACCTGACCTTACACCTGACCTTCAGAAATTTGTGCATTTCAAGCGCGAGGGCTTGGAGTTGCTCAAGAATAATACAGCGGATTTCGTTGGTAAGAAGATATAATAGCTGACTCCTTTTAGTTGAACGGTGCGATCAGATGTCGCAACGGACGAGTATTCTGTGGCAATTACTTACGTTACTTCGAAGTCTATAGCATAACGCTTATTTTCATTTTTAAGACTGGTTCCCGTTGTATTTATCCTGTAAAGTGTTCGAGTATAGTCAAGTGACGCCCTTGCTCAATACATTTTATGTAAACTTTACAAAAGGTTGAACAGGTTGCAAACTGCTGGCGTCCATCTACAAAAATGGTATAAAAGAATAATATTGAACAAGCATTCTTTTCATGTTGTATAATCTGACAGAGCTATGAATAGTTTCCCTGAAGGCACGGTGTGTTTGATTACAGGTATTTATTTCGAGGTGTCGAATTACGTCACCCACCTGTACACCCCAGGTAGCCAGGAATCTAAAGGTGAGTCTCTGGTAACACTTACTTTAAGCCGGTCAATTTATTATTGTGAACGGCTGGGGTGGCTTTGGGTAGTTGTTGAACGAGGGAGCAAGGTTTTACTGTAAATTGATAATTACATGATAAATACGAGTATCATTAGGCATTCACGGGATTACAGGTATTTATTTCAGGTGTCGGTCACCCACCTGTATGAGGGGTGAGTCTCTGGTAACATTACTTTAAGCTCAATTTATTATTGTGAACGGCTGGGGTGGCTTTGGGTAGTTGTTGAACGAGGGAGCAAGGTTTTACTGTAAATTGATAATTACATGATAAATACGAGTATCATTAGGCATTCACGGGATGAGGGTGGTGCATGGCTCGAAGTTTTGTCTTTCGAGACAGAATATTTAATATTCATACCTGCCATTCTTGTCAGCGGAGGGAGGAATCAAACAATTTTTGTTGAGTTTTACTTTTTGGGGTAAAATACGGGAACAAGAAATGATTTTAGATCCTAACTTCTCAGACCACAATCCCTTTTCGTCATCCCTAATCGGAAAGTTGGTAACATTGGTTTTATAGAACATGTGATAAAACGAGAAATATGTTATATGAATTAATATTTTACACCTAAATATCAAAGTTCAAACTTTGTCCCAACAATAAATGTACAACATCCAACCCAATAGGGAATATGAGACACTTATAGAGTAATAATAAAAGTATGAAATTATGAAACGTTTTAAAAGTTGTAATAATATTGAGTTCGAACGATGCTCACGTTATAGGTCATGTCGCTACATGTATGTAGACAATTTTTAAGATAGATTGGTGAGTCATGTAATGATGACAGGCAGAATGTTTATGAAAGCTGATAAATATGACTAATACTAATTTATATACAGTATCCATGTTACTGAAAACATTCAGCATTGTCATTCAGGGAATCTTCACACTTACACCTACGGTAGAACATTAATGAAGCACTATTAAAATACACACTGTTTATACATGATGTGTTTCTTCGCTCAAACACAGGTCTGAGTAGATGGCTCGACAATGAATTCGACAAGCTTGTTTACGACATCGACAACGGCGAGCTGGAGTACGACGTGAACCTCCTGGTGGCTTCTGACCACGGTGTCGCAGACGTTTCCAAGAAAAAGGGTCGTCAACATAACGGCCGTTCTTGTCCGAGAAGACGTCGACCACATTGTAGGCCACGGGGCCATCGTCAGTGTCTGGCCAAAGACGAATAAAGTCCGGCAGGTAGGTTGTACATATCTGGATTCACTGTGTTATTTATAATGTTATGCCTTCTTAGAAGCTGTATTGGTGCAATACACACTGGATATATCACTAAATATAAGTAGGTGCTACACCACCCCACGAAGTCCACGGGAGTATCAGTTTGAGGAGAAGGTTCTGTGATGTTAGTCCACTATAGCTAGGAGATGGTTGGGGCTGTAGTCCTGACCAAATGGTCTTTGCTTCTAATTTGAACTTTTTCTTTTAAAACATTTAGAATATTGAAGAATAGTAAAAAATGCCTAGTTACAATCACTGAGGATCCGTGAAACGAGATTTACACGACTCGTGTGTAATAACTTGTTTGAGTGGCATTTAGAAGTTGGTGTGATGAACAACGAGGAGAGTTCTATGGATATACAACTTCTTTAATATAATATGAGCGACGTTTCGGTGTAGCTACTAACACCGTTATCAAGCCTTCTTGTGTAAACATCCTCCAACCTTGTACATCAGCCTCATTAATTGTGCAAACATCAATCACTAACTGTTCAACTTTACTATGTATATACATACCTTGCCTCTAGTATTGTACATCATTTGCTTGATAACGGTGTTAGTAGCTAGACCGAAACGTCACTCATATTATATTAAAGAAGTTGTATATCCACAAAACTCTCCTCGTTGTTCGTGTGTAATAGTCCTATCCTAGGGCTGCTTCACCATTCTGAAAAGCTCATGTCTCAGTAAGTCACTGAATAATAGGCTTCTATGGGGATACATTATCATTTATCCTGCGGATGTGTTTAGAATGATGATCTATATCTGTTGTCTACAGGTGTATGATAAGTTGAAGGATTACAACGACAACGTTGACGTATTTCTGAAGGACGACCTCCCCGACACGTGGCATTACCGAGACAACATCCGGGTCGCCCCAGTCACCCTCGTGGCCAAGCTTGGCTGGATGATAGCTACAGTAAGTTCCGCTCTCATCGCCTACGTTTGAACCATATGACTGTGTATAGCATGTGCACTATTTCTTGACAGGACTACTAAGCAGCGTTCGCATTGAAACTATTTTTATAGTCGGTTTCGTGGCAATAGTGATTTTTTAGAAACAAGACATAAGGTTGAATGCTCAGGCCTCGACTTTGTTTCATAAAATACCTTTAACATCACTGTATGGTACAAAGGCTATAAATATATATGTTGTGTATGTTTAATTGTCAAATTGCATTGGCGAAACTTATCAAACCTGGAATATGTTTCGAGGACGTATTGTAGTTCAGAAGTACATACCTGCGCCCAACTAACTATCTAACGCTGTCTGTACTGTTTTTGTCAGCCTGACCAAGGACTGCCCAAGAGTGACCGAGGTCGTCGGTTCCGCAGCTATGAAGGCTATGACAACAAGGAGGTCAAGATGAGGGCCACGTTCTTCGGGTTTGGACCAAGTGAGTATCACTGCTAACCCTATATTTGTCGCCAGACCCGACTCGGCTGCACCATGTTTAGCATATTCCAACTGACGCCGTTAACTATTCAGCTACCCTACTGTCCCAGTTGAGTGAGTGAGTGAGTATGGTTTTACGCCGCTTTTAGCAACTTCCAGCAATATCACGGCGGGGGACACCAGAAATGGGACTGTCCCAGTTGATGATGACATAGTACCTTGATGGTGTTTCAGTGTATACCTGGATTAGATGGTGTCTTAATGATAGTGTGTCATTGTGTGGTCGGATAGGGCGGTATCATGATGATAGTGTTTCATCATATCACGAATGAATTGATCGATATATTCCATGTATTTTTGTGTTTACATACCTGCAGGAATTTTAGCTTTCTTTCCTTCCAGGTCAATATTCACGTCAGTAATTATTCCACGTTCCTATCCCGGGTCCACAAATCCGGACTAAATTAGCCCTTCGGCCATCGCCATACACCCCATCCTTTGAGATTGTTTTATTACCTCTCCACTATATAGATACCATTACTAAGACAGTACTTTAAATCCCCATTGGCCGATAGACACCAGCAAATGACGTGCTCGGCGCCTGAGGACAGAACATGCCGTCTGTGCGACTCTTCGATTATTGCAGATGAATTTCACTGTTTATTTGAATTAGCGCTTTAAGCTATATGTATAATGTATTCACAGGACAGCTACTTTACTTCGCCAATGAACATGTGCAGTGCTTTTCCAGATTAAACCTATCAGGATACTTTCGAAATGTATTTCTACTTTTCTGATAACTGTCTATAATAGAACAATAATGTTTGTGTTGCGTTTCGTTACGTGTAGTCAGGAAGACAGAGGAACATATTCTACAAAATGACTTGCTCCAGCTTGACATTGATAACGTTCTGGGTTTAAATCCACACATTGATACAATGTATGAATCCCATTCTCACAGTACCCAGTCGCGATATTGCTTGAAAATGTACAAAGCCAACTACACCCATACTCCACTCCATTACCTTATGTATACAAATGTTTGGTTCAAAATATTCGACCTTCTTTCTTTCAGATCTTAAACAAGGCTACACATTACCAGCTTTAGAAAACGTAAACCTCTATCAACTCATGTGTCGAATTTTACGGATCACTGCCGCACCGCACAACGGCACCTGGAGCAACGTTGAAGCGGCATTCATCAAGGTGCCCTACCGACCCCTCATCACGTGGAAGAGAACCTTCACTTACGGACCAGTATTGGCTTTCGTTTTGGTGGCCGCCATTATCTACTACGTCAAGTTCCGGAAACACAGCGACAAACATAAGGCAGTTTGAGAAAGGAAGCATAGTAGTCGATAACATACAGGTCCTTCTAGTCGATTATTCGAGGTACAGAGGACCGTATGTTCATGATCCCTCAAACAGCTTTACAGACTTCAGCGGATCCTGCTTTCTGTTGTAGTATATCTGCGTAAACTGACTTATCATACAAAGTGACCAGTTTAAATTATGGTAACGTCATATAGGCTACGCGCTGTTGCAACATTCTGTAAAGATTTTAAAAAGCTCTGGTGACCTGTGTCTGATTTCAGGTTGTGAGATCGCGCTTACATTGTTGGAACATTGCTTACATCACCATCAAAACGTAGGCGCTTACTCGGGCAAGATCCTGTCAGCTATTTAATTGTATTCCAAAGCATTGCCTTGATATAGGTGTTGAACCATCTTCAGCACACAGGGGTGATTTATTTAGCATTCAACTATATGCTGTGTTCAACCTGGGTGCTTCAAGTCAATTCTCATGTCAACCACGATCTTATCTTGTATAAGAAGAGTCATGTACAAAATATGCATAACAGCGCTCACAGAGGCTATGGCACCTGTATAATATCATGTGCCGTCCAACCTCGCCAACAGTTCCGGACACACCATGAAATATACGTCAACAGGGAACTGCGAGGTTTTACTATGTTTCTACTATGTTACTGGACGTAAGTGTGTGTATGTCTATATTTGAAATGTTTGATTGCTGGAATATACCACCTGAATATCCACTGAAGTACATTGCGTCTCCGACAACATCAGGGCTTTAGAACAAAATGTATCACCTTGCTGATAAAACGTTTATGACGTCTAACTGACCATGATATCAAATCCGATTTGACGTGGTGATCGATGTACCAGGGGAGGTAACTCGCATCCTTGTTCAGTGATACAGATTTTACAACACTTCTATAAGCATGGACTCAGGTTCGTTCTTGAACTTCGATCTTTTTGTTGCCCGCAATTATTACATTGATCCGTGCGTTTATAAAATATATATTCTCTCATACTATATTATAGTCATTCGTCTGTCCACAGTACAGCTTCTGTTTTGAAACACAATTGATATTTTACATATAAACAGTTTTTATTTACATGGAAAATAGAGATAGATATAATAGACATTTTCTCTCATGTATGCATTACAAAATATATGACGACAAATATATATCTAATAATAAAAACATTAGGAAAATAGAACCACATTGAGCACAACTACCAGAACGACGACAAGAGAGCTGAAACATTTCACCGATGACGATGTCTCAGCCAGCATGCCGCTGACGTTGTCCCATGTGCCGTTGTGGGGTGACGGAGTAATGTCAACGATTTTGCACATCACCTGGTACAGATCTGTGACCTTTAAGGGGACAGTTACCTCGTTCTTACGGAACGCTGAAATCAAAGGCAGGAACATGAATAGTATTAATAATGACCATATCATCATCGCCGTCGTCATCATTCAAATGAGTGAGTGAGTTTGGTTTTACGCCGCTTTTAGCAATATTCCAGCAATATCACGGCGGAGGACACCAGAAATGGGCTTCACACATTGTACCCATGTGGGGAATCGAACCCGGGCCTTCGGCGGGACGATCGAACGCTTTAACCACTAGGCTACCCCTCCGCCCCTCATTCAAATGACATCCATCCTACTTTTGTAGAAATAATACCCTTTGCAAATTCCGGTGCATGCAGATTGACCATATATATAGATACAAACACGATTTTTTGTTTGTACAGGGCTGAATGGGTATCTGGTGGTTACTATGTAAAGTGGATGATGAGACGTTTTAGTGCTCATGTCATCACCCACTAGTTTGTATAGCCCCAAGTTGGTTATTGATTATTTGAAGTCGCCATCATACAGCCTAGTGCTGACTGCCATGTAAAATACTGGTGGCTTTTCCCTTGCTATTAACCTACATTTCCTTAAATATCTGAAACACCATTTTCCGGTTCTTGCTTACATTTATTCGGATAAAGACATTCGTTATCTAACTCAGATTCTGACCTTGCATAATGATCTTTATCTTTGAGAGGGAACACATACACAGGTTCAATTCGTACCGATGACCGTAAAGTAGTGAGGTTTTACACCGCTTTTAGCAATATTCCAGTAATATAACCAGAAATGGCCTTCATACAATGTAGTTATATGGAATCGAACCCGGATCGCCGGCGTGAAGAGCGAACGCTTTAACCACTGTGCTATCCAACAACCCCTATGTTAGTACATTCACGCACCTGGTCCAGTGGCTATAAATATCCCTCTCATATCTGGTTCAGTGTTGTCGTATCCATGTGTGCCCTGGAGGGGATTCATAGTAGCAGAGGAGGCTGGGAAATGGGGATATTTAGGCTGAAAAATACAAACGTGCAGATTCACGGCACCTACCTTATAACACATGCAGAGAATCAGGTTTATAATATGACATATAGATTGTAACGTCTCCATTTCCATACCTTTGTCCTTCAGTGTTTCTCGTACCTTTCCGATACGTTATGGCTTTTATTCATACTATTCAAAGGTACTGGTAAGAATTGGATCCAATGCATGTTGACATGGGATTTAAGTACCCGCTACCGATAAAGATCTGAAGAGGTTCCATTATAGATGACACAAGAACCACCTTTCGACCAATGAAATGTCAGGATCTAGCAAATAGTGAAGCATCTTTTTCGGTCTTCACTGGTTTCAAAATGGCTGCTTTCATTCCAGAATGCGCATTGATACATACATATTGAAGGATACTCTTATTTGATCAAACGAAACTTCAGAAATAGCTGATAGACTGTGGAATTTCTCAGGCGGGATATGGAAATCTCTTTCAAGTGTTTTATCTTACAGACTGAAACTGTCGTTCGGGATACCCCATGTTAATATTTTGGCCTAAGGAAACACATTCGGACCTTCACTTTGCGTTCCTGTAACCCGATTGGTTGGATGAGAGTTCTTTCTGACATGGCCCGTAATGGAATGATTTCAAATCTTTGCGTAGCAGCAGAGAACGCAAACATACGATTTTATCAAGAATTGGGAAACGAGACTGACGAAATAACGAAGTAAGTAGGGGAGATAACTCACAATGAGAATGGTCCACCCGAGATCCGCCACTGCCAGCAGAGGTGGAGTGAGTCGGCCATTTTTTAAATACCATCTTTCTGGAATGTCTTCTTTCTTGTACACTTTCAGGTGCTCGGAGATCCCAACGAGCCTTTCATACAACTGGACATCGCATAAAAATACACATTATTGTAGAGACAATGGGGGCACAAGGCACAAATCATCAATTTATCATGGTCAGACTCGCTGACTTACATTAATATTTGCTATGATGATGTGTGAACAATTTGGTATTACTTTTTAACTTCGTACTATGACGGTAACCTGCCAATAATTGACTGGCCCACTGATATCAGCAACGTTCCACGGTAAAAGGATTCGCTGACACCCAATCAACAAAGTCACCTAGTCTGACCACCCGATCCACTAAGGGGCCTTACGACAAGGCCGTTTGTGTCTAAAACACGTCCTTGCCACTAACTAGCTTCACGCACCTGCTCCAGCCTCCCAGGTCGAGGCCATATCAAGACAGGGGTCCCGCTGTCCATAGTCATGAGGACGTCATCTGGACTCAGTTCCCTGGTCAGATCTATTGTCCTTGTGGGAGAAATGGCGGTCATGCCGTGATCGGACGCAATCATGATATTGACCTTGTCAGTCAGACCACGTCGGTCAAGGTCGGCCACTAGGAAGGCCAGTTGAGCATCAAGGTCACGTAAAAAGCCCATCACTAACGAGCTGTAAGGCCCACTGCGGTGTCCGTACTTGTCTGCCAACTCGTAATAAATACCTGCAAACACAGCAAATGTTTCCCTGATACTGTGTAAGTTTAATGATATAGTTAATTTTTAAAAGGTCATTCTTTACGTCCAATAGTCGACGTAAAGAGCGAGGGAGCTGTTTTTAACTCTACTTTCAACAATGTTTTGAGTTACATCACAGTATGTCATCTTGATGAAGGAGGAAAGAAGATGGATGCAGGTGTCAGACGTTTATCGCACGTTGTTGACAAAAGTGGAAACAGAAACTGTGCGACTTTAATGTTCACACCCATTTCTAAAAACTATGGCACGCCAAAAGTTTCTGTGGAACAATTTATGGTTGGTAACATGTCAACCCCAATGGCGATGGGTACTTTCCTCATGAATCAATCAATGGAATCTGTCTTGTACATTTACTGCTGGAATATTGTTGAGTGCGACGTTAAACTACGACCAAACCTGCAAAATCAGCCTTGTCTTCCTCAAGCTTATTCAGAGCGTCTGTGATAGCGCCACGGGTATCGTTGATGGTAGGGGGCCTGTTGGGGTACCTCTGGCATTGAGTGGGACGCAGACCCCGGATCTCCACCTCACACCCGCACCAGTAGTACATGTACGTCCTCTTGCCCTGGAGCAAGAAGCAGGGTATATCTGGTATGGAGTACTGTGTGAAATTCATGTCACCATTATTGGTGAGGATTTAGAACCTCGGAAAGGACAGAGACTTATATTACTGACATGTCATGCAGACCCAACATATTTTGTTTACGTTTACTTTAATCAACGGCATTTCGATCAGAAACAGTCAACAACATCTGCTTAACATAAACCGACGATGGCGTTTTACTTCCCTAAACATTAATATTATTCTTGGTGCATTAGTAATGGCGTCCTATACCCTCGCTGTGTACCCACCTGTCTCGTGGCAGTGATCCAGAAAGGGTCTCCACCATCCCACCAGTGTGCGTTGTACTGGTCTGGGTTTGTACCGATAAGGAATGACTGGTTCCTCACGATGTCGTACATGTAGTTGCCGACCATGCCGTGACTCTCACAGTGGAGGCCTGTGGGGAAATTAAAGTATTTTATTACACATGCCAAGTAATTAAGGTAACGTTAAATCATCACTGTAAACAGACGTGTTCAGGTGACATTTTCTCTCTCATACAATATTTATGACTGACATACATATGCTATAAACTATTATATTTCTTCCTTTTGGTCTGTCTGTGTTAAATATTAGTAAGGCGTAGATATATATCCACGTTTTCGTTACCTAAAAGAAAACTGAATGAAACAAGGTTATATTGCCTAAGGGAGTTCGGAAGACCTGCTCGATCTCCAGAAAGTATTGCCCTTCATCTGTATAGCAAACCGTGGTATAACAACGGAGTTCTCACGTCACGTTAAATAATACCACTGAGCATATTAACGTGCATGCGAAATATAAGGATGGTGTTTACACACTGGACTGTTTTCTCTTAAGTCAAGTTTACAAGGTTTACAATTCAAAAAATGGAATTCGAAAAAAATATTATATGAAAAGTAGACCATCAAACCTGTGAAATATATATAAATTAAATACAACGGGAATCTATTTTGTGTAATCTCATCACGCGACTCAAGAGTACTGTACACAACCACACAGAATACAACACCGAGACCGTATGCTGTCAGGCCTCTGTGCGATTCCTATGTCACAGTACGTGACGATATAATACTGACGCTATGTCATTATCTCATCCAAACTGAGCGACAAGATGTTTGATATCAACCATTCGAGTGTCTGGTCCAGATTCGAATATTAAGTGAGTGAGTGGGTTTAGTTTTACGCCGCACTCGAAGCTATATGGCGGCGGTCTGTGAATGATCGAGTCTGGACCAGACAATCCAGTGATCAACACCATGAGCATCGATCTACGCAACTGGGATACGATGACATGTGTTAACCATGTCAGCAAGCCTGACGACCCGATCCCGTTAGTCGACTTTTACGACAAGCATGGGTTACTGAAGATCAATTCTAACCCGGATCTTCACTGGGTCGAATATTAAGAGTTTGACGTCATATAATTTCAACATTGCGGCGTTAAACAATAACCAATCAGTTGAACAACCTTCCTACACTAAACTAAGCTCGGCTTCAAAATGAGCCATGATATGATAACGCGAGATGAGTGATATGGCGTTACTGCATTATCAACTTTAAATGATTGTGAAAAATGACGTCCCAGCACGAATAGGTGAGTGAGTTGGGGTTGAAGAAGCGGAGGAGGAGGAAAAAGAAAAATAGAAGAAAATGGCTTTGCATATTTTGGAGGATCGAACCCGGGCAGTCGAAGAGCAAAACGCCCACACCACTACGGTTAAGTTTCATTATCGGACCAAATAGAACAATATGACGAAACGGCTTAACTGGATGTAAATAATGGTGATGCATCATAATAGTGACTTGCAACACCACAAACAAGTGACGTTTAGTTAACATAGACCCTGTGTAAGATGGCACTGTAAGACCTACTTACAGAAATACGTTGCTCGTGAGTTTGCTGTCTCTTTAAACAAGGAATAATCAAATCTGTAATAGTAATATCAAGTGGGCTGGAGTAATTTTACTTGCAATACAGTTAAGCTAAATGTACCTATCACTGCGTTTTAACTAAGAAAACATAACACATTTCGGTTGACACTTTCTCAGTAAAGTACAGATTTTAGTACATGCAGGTTTCGAAACTACACTCTCAGAGCCAGGCACCTAATCGCCTGTACACAAAGGAAGCCATTTAAAAAGGCGGTGGCTTCCACAACAATGGAAATCGGGCAACTGGTATTATATCAAGATCACGGATTTTGTGATCAGAGAAAGTGTAATCCCAAAAATAGCATGTGTGACATTTGACCTCTTTCTAAATGGCATTGTGTATTCATAAGAACATATGTTAATTAGTAATAGATATTAACAGGAAGAAGCATGAGGGATGCGAAAGAATACTCTGCCTCTGTATCCCAAACCAATTCCATCGTGTATACAGATTTTCGTCTTGATAAGTATCTCTCACGGCTGAAACGTTATGATATATGATAGATATGAATAACTGTCGATAAGGTACCGGCCTATCTTCTACAAGGTGAAACAGATAAGATGCAAGACATTAACGCTACTTTCTTCACCCTGTATCAACACAGGATTTAAACTTATCACTAAAACAGCTGTTTGTCGGCAGAAAGAACGCGGAAATGAGAGCGTGAATGGGAAAATGCTTGCGTTTTACATCTGGGCGATAAAGTTGAGCTGGGTGGGGTGCCATCTCTATGCAAGATAGAATAACACTATGACTATGGTTCATGCGTCCGAGATAGAATCAAGTCGTTGAGTTATCTCTAGTAAGAAGTATGTTCTGTAACAGCTACTGTCTCTGGAGCATTCACACTATGCAAAAATACAGTCTGAGACCCACAAGGACCTGTTCAACCGACAGTGATCAAAGATTTCCTGTTTGAAAATGCTTGGATCTCGACCTGCAGGCGCGACTGCCCAAACGATAAGATGGTTAGTGCATTTCCAAAGTTTAAGAAAAACACGGAGAGCCAGGTTTATTTTTGTTTTTGTGTGTGTGAGAAAGTAAAGTCGTTGGCAGTTACGGGCAAAGGGCATCATGATAACGTTTATTCTCAGAAGACAGAACGTTATATAAATGCGTTATGGGGAAATGATTGTGGGATGGGTTCTAGTTTTCAGAAAAACAGGATAAAATCTACCAAGTGTTTTATCCTTCATTTACATGCTAAGGATGAGATCTCGATATAGAAAGTACCATTATGTTTGTGCTTAAGTTAGATAAATGTATCATAGCCGGGAGCGTTATCACTTCGACAAACATGATAATAACAGAGAGAAACCATTTCCATAATAGTGAGTGAGTTTAGTTTCACGCCGCACTCGGCAATATTCCAGCTATATGGCGATGGTCTGTAAATAATCGAGTCTGGACCAGACAATCCAGTGATCAACACCATGAGCATTGATCTACGCAATTGGGATACGATGACATGTGTCAACCCAGTCAGCGAGCCTGACCACGGGCTCTTACGACAAGCATGGGTTACTGAAGATCAATTCTAACCTGGATCTTCACGGGTTTTGTCCATGCTAATAGGAAATCTCTGCTGAAAGCAGGGTCAGTTCCGACTGTTATGAACATGTACTTTTTAATAATTGATAACACAATGTGTTCGCGGAAAAATTAGAGTATCCTTCACCACAGATGACACCTGTCACAAACACATGCAGCGGCAGGTGAAAACACGGAACCATATGGTACAAGTCGATATTAGCAACGGCGTCGAACATACATTTTTGTCTCTGGCCATTAGAATTATATATTGCTTTTTGAAAAGTATATCACTGAAAAAAAAGAAGTGGCTACCACCCAAAATATCTGTTAGTGCCCGTAAATTGCTTCTCTGTCCGTATGTTAAAAGTGATAAAGTGGATAACAGTAAATACTTGCCCGGGTTATTTCCGTCTCAGGTGATGGAGGTTCCAATCAGTATCTGATAGACCCGAGGTGGTTTTAGCCACAGGTCATCATCGTCTGTCTTCTTTCATGACTTTGGTCTGATAACATTTTGGGGGTTTCCAACATGATGGATTCAAATCGTATTTTCAGGCCTCGCCGACACATCCCAATTCTTAACAGTAACCAAGTTAGAAGGTCTCGCACACAAATACGTGAAGTCGCACTAGATCTGGTGATATGTCAATGATAGTGTCTTTTCTCAGATGAAGAATGAGCAAAGTTTTACGCTTCTGTTAGCAATATTCCAACAACTCTACAATTCACGGCGGGGGACGCCAGAAATAGGCTGCAGGCATTGCAACCATCTTAGGAATTGAACATAGCTTACGGCGTGACGAGCGATGACTTAATCAACTCGGCTACCTTACATGTCAAGGAAGAACCTCAGAATGAAAACATTACGAAATAAAAATTTCCAGTTTTCAAGTTTTGAGCATAAAGTTACTCATCTGACAAAATATCATGCTAGACGCAGCCTGCAAGGTTATAGTATAATACCGAATAGATCTTATCATTTACGCAGCATACGCATTGGTCTGGTAACACTCCATTCTTATATGTTCTGTTGAGTGTTTTACTAGACTAACGTCTAGTCTCTGAAATGAACATATTTTACAGAAAAAAAACTGTTCATAAAAAATATTAAAAAAATGCAATGGAACGGAGCCTAGAGACTTCATTCGTTTTCACTTGCCACATATTCTAGACTTGCATGGGCTTTCTTGGATATTTGTTTTAGGGTCTGTAAGACAGACTTGGGTTTACATAAAACTTATCATATGTGAAAACAGGTAAGAATCCATTCTCATCGGAAGCCATACGCTGCAAATAGAGAGATTTCCTTTACCAAGCTTAAGCCAGTACATCATCGTGAATGGTTTACAGGTCAGCCTCTGGCGTTATGCCTCGTTGCAAATAGATAGCTTAAATAATAGGAAATGGGAAACCGATAGAAAAACTTTCAACGACACGAGTCTCTAATCAGGCAGAAGGGCGTGGAATCGTAGAGACACCCACAGCCAACTGTCTGCTATTTATCTAGTGTATATCTAGGCGTACCTAATATACAATGACACAGTAGCACTTTGGGGAAATATTTCTGGTGAACTGGTTCCGGCCCCCTGATATCACCTGTCCGTGGACTCAGCGCTCCCTCTCCTCCCCCATCACATGAGGCTATAGGGGTGGTGATGGGGAGAACCCGCAACAGACATACATGGTGATCACGCTAGTCGTATATCATACAAACCAACTGGGCGCTGTCTTCATCACGCCTGACAGCGTTATGGGAGGCACGCAACTGTCTAGAATGACAACTTAAAAAATAACAGCAGAACCTTATTTATTGTACGGATCCGCCTTTTAGAAAGATTGAAGAGGTGAAAAAATGGACTATTTTCTAACCCGCAAAGTAGTTCCTTTTTCAAGACTCAGCTTTTGCCTGTACTGTATACAGCGTAATGCAAACAGTGGGTTGCATTGGG